TCCGGGCACTCGATGCACGGGGAATTTTATCCCGAAGCCTGAGTAGGGATAAGTCAACGCCTAACACGCGTTGCCGGGTAGTCTATCCCGTAAGAAATGGCGAAGTCTATGTATTCAAAATCATAGCATTAAGTCTAAGAGAAACAATTCTCTTAGCACAACGTTACATGTGAAACGGGTTTTAATAATTCACATGCTAGCCCGATTCAAACGGTAATCGGTAAAGGCACGTCAAACCCATTGATGGCTGGGGGTTTGCCAAAAATCCCAAAGCCTATGTCTAACACACATGGCCGGTTAGTCTTTGACCGTAAAAAGGACAAAAGACCACATATTCAACATTGTGGCAGGTTGTTATTAATAACACCATAATCCGTGCCTCACACGCACGGTAATAACACCATAATCCGTGCCTCACATGCACGGGGAATTTTATCCCGAAGCCTAAGCAGGGATAAGTCAACGCCTAGCACGCGTCGCCGATTTAGTCTTTCACCGATTGAAAAAGACACCAGAATTTAGTCTGGGGCATTTTATCCCGAAGCCTAAGAAGGGATAAGTCAGCGCCTACCACGCGTTGCCGAGTACCATATTCCCGTAAGAAATGGTAAAGTCCGGTAAAGGCTCATCAAACCCGTTGAAGGCTGAGGGTTTGCCAAAAACCTTAAAGTCTACGCCTAATATGCGTTGCCGTTTAGTCTTTTCATGTGAGAAAGACGGGCTGAGGATTTGCCAAAAATCCTAAGTCAACGTCTGATACACGTTGCCGTTTAGTCTTTTCATGTGAGAAAGACGAAGTCTACGTATTCAATATCGTAGCACTAAAAGAGTTAACTCTTTTAGGCTTTAGCACAACGTTACGTGCAGAATGGGTCTAAACAATCTGCATGCTAGCCCGACTCAAACGGTAGTCGGTAAAGGCTCATCAAACCCGTTGATGGCTGAGAATTTGCCAAAAATTCTATAAATACGAGTCATTGACGCATCAGCTTCATTAGTTGGTCTCATGACTTGAGCATCCAACAAACTTCAGGATAAGATCCACACGTGCAGATGAATCAGCTTTAATAGTTGGTCGTTGCCGTTTAGTCTTTTCATGTGAGAAAGACGAAGTCTACGTATTCAATATCGTAGCACTAAAAGAGTTAACTCTTTTAGGCTTTAGCACAACGTTACATGCGGAACGGACTTAAACAATCCGCATGCTAGCCCGACTCAAACGGTAGTTGGTAAAGGCTCATCAAACCCGTTGATGGCTGAGAATTTGCCAAAAATTCTATAAATACGAGTCATTGATGCATCAGCTTCATTAGTTGGTCTCATGACTTGAGCATCCAACAAACTTCAGGATAAGATCCACACGTGCAGATGAATCAGCTTTAATAGTTGGTCCTGCAACCCAACATTCGGGACCGTCACGCTCCAATGCCTTAAGAGCTTAAACTGTGTAGACTCCAGCAAACGTACGAGTATAAACTATGTTAACGCCGGTCAACGTGTTACAGTAAAGATCGATGCCGGTCAACGCATCAGCAATTTCGCCAAAATAAGGCAAAAGATGACTCCAAGGATTTCAGTTACAATCGGATATGAATTCCCGACGGAGATGATCAGTTCAAAGTCAACTCAATAGCACGAGCTAAGTTCAGAAACTTACACACTAATCTCAGTTCAAGATTTCGACAACGGTCAGACGAAAACGCAGCGCCGGAAGAACTTCATCCATTCGACGAAACAATGAATAGATTGAAGGCTGAAGAAATTAAGAATTGAGGTAGTTAAAGGTCGTTCTACGAAATGGAGATGTCATATCTTATCCAAAGAATTCCAGACTCCTCTATAAAACAAAGAGTCTGAAATACTTTGGAGGGGGTATCTGTAGGCGTCCAAAAATGCCTATGGGTGTCCGCACATAGCTCAAGACAAAGAGAAGGCAATGAACGTCATTATCCGAGTCAAAGAGGATTATCCGACGCCGACAAGCACATGAAGCGAATCGGCAAACTGTTGATGACACGACAATGAACCACCAAGTGGACCGCACGCGTCAATCAACTCAAAGCGTACAAACGTGCCTAACAGTCAATCCCACAATGAAGCGTGCAAGTCAACAAGACGGTCAAACACGCAAGAGTCAAAGGAGCACGAATTTCTGCGGGGGTTGACAGATCTTGGCGGGTTCTTCGGCATAAAGAAGGAGAGTTCGAGAGATCCGACGCCCGTTCCCGTCCGTCCCTTGAGATTAGGCTTGGTCTTAATCTCGAGAAGAGCCCTGATTTCGCTTGGTCGATTTCAGCGCTTCAAATCAAATACTTCCTCGGCGAAGGCGAAGCTCTGCCGAATTTTCCATCAACCGGATCCAGATCTAAGGCGGTCCACGGATAAACCCCGGCACAGGCAAAGATCCCACGCAAGCAGAAGACCGATAAACGATCTCTGCGTTTGTTTTGACGAGAGTTGTAATCTTTGTTTTCATTGTGTAAAAGTCTTATAAAAAAGACTATCTTTTTTGTTTTCATTGTAACGACCGAAGTTGTAATGAATACCGCAATGAATACATCAATTTTCGACGCAAACAAACTTGGTTGAATCGAGACTGCTTCGGGTTCTGACCTTCTTGGTATAAAGGTTCTTTCCCCTTTTGCCTTGGTTGGGTTTGCTCCGCGACTACGGGTGTTGGAGGAGTTGCAACAATTCCCATCTCTGCTAATGTCTTAGAGGGAACGGTTTTGGTTACCGCCTGCTTAGCTAACTGCTCTGAAGCATCCGGGTATTTGAAGTGATACTCATTTCCACTCCGGGTCGCGA